TTCTTTAAAAGCTATTATAAGTACAACTAATTGTCAGAATTAGCCAGACATATTCTGCAGTGTGGCACTTTTGAGGGACACATGTTTATATGCAACTAAACAGCTGTAGGGATGTGCAAGAGTTACTAAGGAGGATATTTAGGACAGCACCCTCTGCTTTCCATTGCAGGAGAAAATTTTCAATCAGCATCAGTCTAGCATGGTAACTGGCTGACAAAGAAGTCAAAACTGCTCCTTTCTCGTAAGCCTTTGCCCGTATCTTTGTAGATAATCACAAAAATAGTCTTGAGAGCTACTTCCAGTGTGTTATCTATTGGTAGTATCTATTGAGCAGACAATGCAAGACAGCAAGTAGCATGTCTTTGAACTACAAGCAGCTGGAGGTGAGCTGAGGTGGCAAGTTTGAGCAGACACAGGAACCAACTTCCTCAGATTCCAAAGATTATGCTGCCCTGAGGCAGTAATAAGATCTTTTGATGTAGTTTATTAAATGAGTAACAACATGAGGTGAAGAAAAAGAAGAGTGGAAAGTCTGCTAGAAGAAACAGCAGCTGCTCTCAGTGACAGCCTGAGAGGGGAGAGAGCTCTGGGAAGGGTTGGGGAGATGGAGAGCATCACTCAGGTGAGGAGACTTAGCTTAGAGAAAACAAGGCTGAAAAGGGATATGATTCCTGCCTATAAATACATGGGCATGGGAGGAGGTGGAACTTGGAGGTGGGTTAAAAATAGCTATGAACTGATCATGGACAAGTTTAGACTAAAAAACAATAAAAATTGAGAGAATGTGCACTGAAGTCCTGGAATAGCTCTGATACAAGAAATTCAAAGCAAACAAACGAAAACAATCCTATGGCAGAGCCTGACAATTCTGTGAGGGGTGGCAAGATCCTTGCCCAGGCAGAAATCTCTCAGTCCACATTGCCTCTGTTAGAGAAGATAAGACTCTACTGCTGAGAGTGCAACAGCAGCTCCACTGTAAATTAGATATCTGACATTTGAAAGCCTCAGTTCCAAACAAATTCCATCCAAGATGAAACTCCACAACTTAAACCAACACTCTCTTCATTTGATTTAGATGCTTATAAATTCAACAAGATTAAATGAGTCATTTGGGTGATTTCAGGGTTTCCATTCCTATGTAACTAAAAACCAAATTAATGTGAGGGGAAAAAAACCAAAGCCTCAGATAGACACAACAGGCCTGTCCTACTCCATTAGGCAGGTCAAAATCTACAGAATAAAGGAAATTCAGGCAGAAAAATATCATTGCAATCGACCCAGCAACATAGGGAAAAAGGCAAGAGGGGTAACTTGTGTGCTCCAAGAAGTCTGAATCTTTGTCATAGTGTCATTCTGAAACAAAAAATACCTAGAATTCCTTTGCCAAAGGCTTCAATTTACCTTTCTTTCAGAAAAAGGTGAGGAAAAAAATCCTGATATCTTCTAGGAGTAACCTTCACCTCTTAGTTATTATGCAGGTGGGGAGTTTATTTCTTTCTTTGTTTTTTTTTTGTGTGTGTTGTGGTTTCTCCTTTGATTCTTCCATTGTTTGTATTCTGCTATGCTGTACATAACCTTTGGACCCAGTTAAATTCAGAAATAAACTCAATACCAGATCATTTAAGCCCATTGATGCAAAGTATTAAGCTATGAGCCCACAGAGAGAAGACTGTACAATTAAAGTCACAACATTTACAGTCCAAAAAGAACAAACCACCAAATTATTCAAAGAGTTTGCCACATCCCCATTGAAAAATATGGAGCAGAAAAGCCTCAATTCACATGTAACTTTGTCAAGAGGCTCAGACCAACTAACAGTGACTGACCAGCATGAAGCAGCTCCTGCCAGGCCTGGCTGAAAGAGCAAGTCAGGTCAATTTAATCAATATTTCTGACAAAAGAGATTCCTGAGTAGTCATTCTCACAACATATTAATTCTAGCAAAACTGAATTAGAGCAAGTAAAATTAAATGGAATGGCCTATGCTCCTAAAACTCACTTATCTCCATGAGGCTCATCCCTTGAAGGATTTCTACAAGCACCAGTTTTCAAACAGGTTTGACTGATGGTCTAATGCAAAATGACTTCAGAGTGACCTAACAATAACAGGAGAGGTTTGCATCCCATCTCAGCCTCCCACTTACCTTGTCAACATGTGGGTGCCAGTACTCATCGTGGGCTGTCTTGGCTCCTGTGCTGTTTATTCTGGAGAAGAATGTTGGCTTAGTCAGGTACATGGCAGAAGAGCTGATGCCAAACTCCTGAGCAATCCTTTGCTGAATTCTCTGTCTCACATCACTGCAAGGAACACACAGAACACATGATCAGTGCCACCTCTCCTGCCTCTTCTGTCTTCTTCACTCACTGCTGTTGTTTCTTTAGAGCTAAGCTTCTTCCTCAGCTGATAAACCATGGGGAACACAAACCTATACTTTCTCTCTTACTTTGCCTTAACTAAAGGAGATCTACTACATCAAAACAAAGGCCTCCCCAGTGTTTCGGTTGGAGTTACTTGGTTTTGGGTTTTTAACTCTCAGAATATCAAGGGAAAAACCTATTTACCTCCTGTGGTTTTACAATTCCTGTCTGTCAGCAGGCTGATTCCCTGAGAAATTCCACACCTATCCCACTGTTCATGAACTGCTGAAAACATTAAAGTCTTTCACAGAGATGTGTTAAATCCAAAGCAGATAACTGTAAAGTTGTACCTCCAAAGGAGTTGCCTCTGAAGAACTTTTAACTCATTTTAGGCTAATTTTAAACCAGCTGATGAAATCCCTCACATACCAAAATCTGTTGGGAGAGTTCTGATGTTCTATGGCTACAAGGAAAATCCTTCTTCATGCTGAAGAATGTAAGGATTTGTTTGCATAAACACAGCAACTCTTCTGTCATTCAGACTGCTTAGAGTGTACCCTGGCTCTGAGCAGATACACTAACAGAGCTCTGCTGTGACAAGAAATGCACAAGCACAGCACCTGGTCAACAATATCAGCAACAAATTAATCCCCAGGCCTTGTACATCTGCACTGAGTCACTGGATAACATCAAACAGCTCAGACTCAGGGAAAGGCAGGACAGAACTCCATGGAAAGAGCACATCACCACCACCACTTTCTGTAAAAGCAGTTACTGAAATCTGGTTTGGAGTTAGGGTGATGAGGGAGAAAAACAAGCCAGTGAAGTAGCTAGAAGTCCAAGGAACATACAACTTAAGAGAAAGGAAGTTCACTAGATAGCAAAGTGGCCAACTTAATTTATCAGCAGCAGCATAAAGGACTAAAAGTGGCACAGAGAAATTTCTGTAAGATATAAGCTTTGCCAAACCAGCAAAAAAAAGCAGTTAGGAGCCACTTCAAAGTGCAACTCAAGCATGGTGACAGGAACACTCAAAGCTCAAACCCAATTTCTCTATCCCACTTGTCACACCACTGCACTGTCCCAGGAGACAGCACCAGAGGCAGCTGGAGCAGACAAAGCAATGATCTCCCACAGCCAGAGAGCTTTAAGAGGAATCACACCTGCAGAAGGAGCACAGGGAGAAAGCAAACTCTCAGCCCTTCCCCTGCTCTACCATAGTAAGTTGTAAGGTTTCTGGAATAAATCCTTGATAGTGCTGTTTCCTGCTCAAGTCAACCCTCACACAAAGCATCCAGATTTAAAGGTCTCCCTTCTGATAAAGATTCATCTATTATGTGAAACAAGGGACTGCTGCAATGTGCTTGGCAGATGGTGGTTAAAGCCTCAGCCTAGAAACCATAACTGATTCTGAAACAACATAATTTTGACAGAGGCAGTTTAGAAACAGCCTCCTGGCTCAGGGTGCCTACTCAGATTTGTTATTGTTGCAATCAGCAATGCTTAGACATGAATTAAGTTATTTATCTCAAGAGTATATTTTTAAACTGACCTTGGTAGGTAGGTGAAAGTAATGATGATAAATGCTCCCAAGAATGGCATAAAATCAGTCATTAAGGACAGAAAATACAACAACAGTCCATGTTCAAGCACTGCCATTAATATCAACAGAAGCATTTAACAACCTGTTTTCTATTAGCTTCCTATCCAGCAGATTGGAACACACCCTGTATTGGCAGGAAATCCCAAGGGAGTATAGATATTCCCTAGCAACTGTCTCATCTCACAGCATAAATTCATAACATTAGTGAAAAACTGAATGTTTCTATTCATTTGAAACAGAAATTATAACTTTTCTTTACACAAAGTTCAATAATAATCAAGGAACTGTCTCATTTTCATGATTTTGGGGGCAGAGCTAAACATGTATTGAAGAATCTATAAAGACAATGGTATCTAAAACCAGTTGTTGAATAAAAATAAGCTTTAAGTGGTTAACATTTTAGGACTATATTAATCAATTACTATTTTAATACAATTAATAAACCCACTTGGCTATTTAACTCTCCCTTCACCACTAGAGGGAAGTCAGATTCCTTCACAGAGGACCACAAAAAAGGAGACAAAAAAAAATTTCAAGTATTCAAACCAGGGACATCATAAATTATGAGAAATCAACTGAAATGCACAGCTAAGGATTTATTGTGTCTAGTCAACAAAGAATGCTTGTTCCTAAGCTTTGCCCACACACCTTCACAGACACATGGAACTCGTTAGGTTTGTTGTCTTCATTAAGTATATGAGCAGGACTACAGGAAAGCAGAAAGCATCAGCTGCCCAAGCTATTACATTGTAGTGCTATTTCATCCTCTGGCTCTGAGGGGGAAGCATGCCCTGCTTCTCCAGCCAGAACATTAGTAATTTCATAGAATCACAGAAACAACCAGGTTGGAAAAGACCTCCAAGATCATCAAGTCCAACCCTACCATGGTCACTAGCCCATGGCACTAAGTGCCACATCCAGTCTCAGCTTGAAAACCTCCAGGGATGGTGAATCCACCACCTCCCTGGGCAGCACATTCCAATGCCTGAGCACTCTCTCCATAAAAAATCTCTTCCTAATATCCAACCTAACCCGCCCCTGGCAGAGCTTGAGTCTGTGCCCTCTTGTCCTGCTGCTGGTTGCCTGGGAGAAGAGACCAACCCCCACCTGACTCCAACCTCCTTTCAGGGAGCTGTAGAGGATAATTAGTCCTTCCCCTCCCTGTTTTCCCATTCTTACTGTTTTGCTACAATTCTCCTCAAAAAAACACAAGTTCCTAATGCAATAATCACATAGAATTGTCTTTACCATCTAACACAACCTCTTGGATAACATGTGTGAAGTCAGAGTTAGTGATAAAGGATTTAACATCCCAGCTATGATGTTCCAGCAAATAATCACAGCACTGAGCTGAAGTTATTTGCTCTCCTTGCTCGCAGGGCTGGCATCAACCCCCTGGGCAGACAGGGAGATGTGTGGTGCTGCCATCATCCTGATTGCATTTACACCATCAAAACTGTCCTGACATAGCTAATGCTGCAAGTTCAAAGCAGTTGATGTTGTTTATTGGGTAGTTGACAAAATGTTCTTTTATTTCTTCCTCAAGGCATCTTAGTTCTCCCTAGCCCACACAGTTCTGCTGTCCTCAACATAAGGAGGACATGGAACTGTTGGAGCAAGTCCAGAAGAGGCCACAAAGTTGCTAAGAGCACTGGAGCATCTCCCCTGTGAGGACAGGCTGAGGGAGTTGGGGCTGTTCAGCCTGGAGAAGAGAAGGTTCTGTGGAGACCTCAGAGCAACTTTTCAATATCTGAAGGGGCTACAGGAGCCAGAGAGGGACTCTGTGTTAGGAACTGCAGGGACAGGACAAGGGGTAATGGGTTCAAACTGAAGGAGGGAAGTCTAGGTTAGATATTAGAAAAAAGTTTTTTCCTGTGAGGGTGGTGAGACACTGGCACAGGTTTCCCAGGGAGGCTGTGGCTGCCCCAACCCTGGCAGTGTTCAATGCCAGGCTGGATGAGCCTTGAGCAACCTGATCTAGTGAGGAGGTGTCCCTGCCCAGGGCAGGGGTTGAGACTGGATGATCTGTAATGTCCATTCCAACCCTTAAATTCTATGATTCTATATCTGATCCTCACAGAGGTTACTACTCTGAGCTGCAAAAATCAAGTTTATGTATGAATGCAAAGGACAATCCCCTCACAACCAGCAAAAACCCAAAAAAACCTTACAGTATACAATCTACAAAAACCCAAAAATAAAAAGATCTGTTTTATGGTTCATTCAGCAGTTACTGAAAATCTTTACCGGTATAATGCAAAATCCTCTTCTGTGAAGATGTCTTGAATTTTGTCCCCAAAGTACCTGAAAAATTAAACAACAGTCTAAAAGAGGAGTTGCTAAAAAGCCCTACAAATGCTTTTGAGCATGATGTTCCAAACCCATTGCAGAAAGATTCAATGTTAAAAGATCATAGGATCAAAATGCTGCAACTGGTAATGGAATTCCCCAGACACTACAAATTCTCCTCCCACATCGTGAAATAAGCTCATGGATTCAAGTTTTAAGAGTTCAGCCTATCTGATTTCTTCCACTGCTGACAAACTAGACTATAACTGGGGAAAAAAAATCCCATGATTTACTGGTGCAAGAGCAACTGCAAACAAAGATAATGGTAGCTTGCAGAGAGCCCAGTTCAACAAAAGATCAGTTTTCATGCCACAAAAGCTCTTTAACTGGTCATGGAAACTGTGGTGAATCCAACCAAGTTACACAGTTTGTCATCACTAACCCCAGCCCACAAGGCCTGAGAGGCACTGGGCATGGAAGGTGTAGGATAACAAGAGGCAGAAAGCCACAGTCCCATTTTACCTGATTAACAAAACAAAATGCTTCGATGCACAAAGGTAAAACCAAAAAAAAAAGCAAAGAAAAAGAAAAAAAAAAAAAAAAAAAAAAAGAAGGAAAAATGAGCATGAAAAGGTTTGACCATTATTTAACTATGACCTTTAATAACTGTCCCAAGTTGGTTCTCACTTTCCACAGCCTCCCAAAGTAAAAATATTAGTTTCTAACATTTGGGTTCACAATATAATATACTTTACAACTCCAAACCTCCCTCAGATCACTGTATGGATGCACAGAATGTTGAGGTGCTACGACTGCTATTGCTTAGAGTCAAATCTGACAGGGAATTGTCAGAGTCTCCCTCCATGGGCGAGGGACAAAACACTGTGTTCCAGGACATTTCCCTTTCACACAAAGCTGACTGATTTCCCAGTATTAGAGAAGTGCTCAAATAGCAGCACCAATATTGACTTAGCCCAGCATTTGTTATTAAAACTCCTTCGCCACCAGTTCCTGTACACTCCTCTTATTTAATACAGACATAAAAGTGTTGAAAAGAACAATCAGAATTCTAAGGCTATACTAGAGCCGGACTTTTTTCTCCTCAATTTCTAAACTGCTGTAAAGGAAAACCACGTTGTGAAAAATTTTTACATCTGAAAATTCAATCCATTTCTTCATCCATTTCAAGCCAAACTCTTCTGCTGAGCTCCAGAGAAGCTAAAAGGATTAGTACTCAGATCTGCCAGGATGCAGAGCTACCTCTCAGGACTCTAAACTGAACAAAGTACACTTTTGTATGTCCCTTGCTGTCCACAAAATGCATGTTTGTTTTGCTTCAGTGAAACAGCATTTGAAAACAGGCCTGTCTAATAGCAGTCCTTTTCTTTATACTGGAAATATCAAATAGCAACAGCTAATTAACCTGTCTGACACCGAGGGAATGACATCCTTGATATACAATATCCAGGCAAGAACACTCCTCTTGGAATTTGGCATTTTTTTGATGCACCACATACCATTCACATGATTCCAACAAAACCCCAGCAGTACTCACAGCACTAGGTGAGCTGCCTGGAAAGGATGGTAGCTTCTGTTGGAAGCTCCATTTTACCTTCACCCAAACACAGGCTGCAGCAAACCCTCAGTGCACAGGCACACCAGAGCTGCAATTTCATCTTCACCCCTGTCTCAAAGCACTTTTCTCCCTCCTCCTCTGGGTTCACACAGGATGGTGAGGGAGGAAGACACCCAGAACAGTCCCTCAGCAAAAAAAAAATCACTGCAGCCTCAATTTCTCTGAGCTTCAGAGCTGAATCAGGGGGACTCCACTAACATCTCCTTTTAAAAGGGATAGTAACAACCTATTTTTCTACCCAAATAATCGCATTTACCCCTTTGAAAATACATGTAGTAATGAGCTGTTGGTGTAGACATAGGATGAAGTTTTCAGTTCTCCAAAAGCTTCAGAGGACTGATAGGAAAACACGTCGTCTCACACTCATGTATGAGCAGTTCTTGCAAGAAGCTTTCCTCAAGCTTCAGAAGCAAAATACTTTCATTTATTGGTTTCTGGTTCTGTACAATAATCTAAGCCACAGCAAGAAGGAATAAAACTACTCCTGTGTAGCTTCAAAAACATGTTTGTGACCAAACCAAAGTAGCTCATAACAAGTAGCAGGATACAGCTGAAAAGACTAATTTAATTTGAACACAAATTGCCTAACTCTTTCCAAATGCTCTTCAGACTTACACATTTCTTCTCACTACTTAAGCTCCAGATGATTACAGTTAGGAGGATCCAAAACAGCCAAATGAATCAATAAAAGACACCCCTGAGAACTGTAGCTGTTCAGAGCTGAACAGAGAGTAGCTACAATATAAAGCCTAAAATAGCCAGATGAGGACTGAAAAAGGAATCTGAAAAGGAAGGAATATTCACTGGGGTTGTTTCAGACAGGGGAAATAACAGAATGAAAAGACAGGGGAGCACAGAGCTTTTTGTTTAACAGCTACTTTGGAAAGAAACCAGAACACACTCACTTTTGGCCTCTGCCATTTCAGAACATTAAAGATGGATTTTCAGCATCATTTCTGACACTGAGATGAAAACCTTGCTGGAAGTCTGTGTCAATATGGTTAATTCAAGTCCAGTTATCTGACCAAGGGGCAGCCTGAAGTTCATATCAGAGTTCCCAGGCTGAAAGCTCCACAAAGTTTCCCTAAAGATGGCAAACATACCCACAACCCTATTTTCCAGAGACTGACACAACTGCCCCCATATCCTGGCTTACAGAGCTCTCTGTGTAAGGGAAATAGAACTTCTTTAAAAAAATAAAAAGCACAAATACCTGCTCTTTTGGACCCTCAGTATTGTTAGTCCCATATTCTACACCCTCTCACTGCTAAAAGGATTCAAAAAGAATGTGCAAGAACACAGCACTTCTCAGCATATGGAAAAAAGGATCAATTTTCCCATCTTGGAAAGCATGACAGCTCCTGCCTTTGTTCCTCACTAAAAGGGATTGCCAACCATTGAATACCTATTGACTTCTCCAGCAATTCCTCCAGCCCATAAAAGGGTTTAAGCGATGCTTTTAAAAAAAACAGCAGACACACTACCCAAAAGAGAAAAATGCAAAAAAACTTACTTCTACTTGTCTGCAGAGGAGCACTCAAAACATTCCCCACTGCTCCTGTGGAAAAGCTCACAGACTCCAGCTGAGAAGAGGGAAGAGCAATGGAGGTTCTACACCTCTCCCTCATTTCCCTCCCCTTTAAAAAAGTCTCACAGTGATGCTTCCAAAATAACACAGATGATGGATTTATATCTGACGCTCTGGCTTGTTGTCTAAGTAAGCACCCCTGTCCAGTTCTGTGCACTGGGCAGCAAGTTTCCCATCTCTTCCAAACTTTCTCTGCCTCACATTCCCCAGTTCCCTGACCCCCAGCTGGACATTAGCTTTCTGTGGTCCAAATCCATGAAGTTGTCTGTGTCATACCTTGCCCTTCTAATCCCTCTTTGTGAGAGCCAAATGAAAATTCACATGTAGGTAGGGTTGGACTCAATGATCTTTGAGGTCTCTTCCAACCTGGTTGATTCTATGATTCTATGAAAAGAAGAGGAAACCCACTTGACAGCACTAATGACAGGAGCCAAGCCAGAGATCCCAAAGGGCAAAGCAATCCAGGCAAAGTGGCAGATTATACAACCACAGAAGTGGAAAAAAAATCCAAGGGATCCTGACAGAACTGAACACAGAATGTTAAATCTTCTAAATACACTGTTTGAGATGGCACAGCACTGCTCAACTTTCTCAGTTCATTTTTTTTTGCAGATCTTTCTCAGCAATCACAAGGACAATAAAGTCCTTTTTCCACTGAAACCCTTCTCCTTATCTGCTAACATATGCCCCAATTCAGCAGAGGCCTAAGGAAGTGCTGTGTAGAAATACTGAAGAAATACTTTCTCTTCACACACAAAAACAGTCTGAGAACAAAGACAGGGGAAATAAATTAAAATAATGTGCTTGTTAAAGAGAAGTTTCATCTTAAAGATTCTTATTCCAAGGTCCACTGAAGACATTACATGACTTTTTTGCCACTACACCAAACCAATCTTTAGGTGATGATGTGACCACTGCAATTTATTTTCAGAAGTCAAAGTGCTGCAGTTCTGTCAGTAACTGTTACCATGTGAAGACAAAAATCAGCTCAACAGAGGTGCTACAAATAACCAAACTGACTACAAGGAAATAGCAACTGTATTGCACAAGTCAGGAGTTACACTGCTAGCAGAAGCATTCCTGGGAGATAACTCTCCAACCAAATTTTTTTACAAATCTGAACAGAAAGAAAAATTCTCCAACTCCTCACCCAAAAAATGCGTTTATCATCTTGCCTTGGCAGTAAAAGAATGTAGAAAGTAACAGGACACTGCTCACCCCTCCATCAGATCCTCCCAAGGACAGTCCCCTCTCTGCTATTCTGCAGGCAAAACAACAATCTCAGATGAGAACTGAAGTCTGATTACTTTGTCCTTTATGTCCTTATTTACAACATATAAACCTTCAGTAAGTGGCATTTGATGCATCAGATAAAACCCAATTCAGTTATTAATAGAAGCTCCCATTTATTTGAAACGGAATCTTGCAGCCTGTCATGAAAACAAAGTGTTTGTCTTGCAGAACATTTCTGAGTTTGCAGCCTCCAAAATACGCTCAAAAACACTGTCTTTCAAATACATTCTGGCCAAGTAAGGTTAAACATAAACCCCCTTTATCCCTGGGGGCAGTACAAATAAACCTGTGCAATGCAGACGAGTTGTATCACAATCAGGAGCCTGAGTGCATTTGAATCACAGAGTGACTTGTGAACAAAGCACTCATGAGCTGCACATCACTGCAAGCATTACCACCACTCCCCACTTACATGATTACCAAGTGCACAGCACACTCAAAGAGGCTGATAACTTTTCTGACTGCTCCACCTGACCCTGCTGTTTGACTAAAACTCACCACTTAGTGCTCACAGAGAACTACAGGGTCAGCAGTAGCTCATAATCACTCAGAAAGAGACAGCTGTAATAAGTCTTATGTTGCTTTGTCCTGCTTTTAAAGGCCAAATCCTTTTTTAAAATGTTTTTAGATCTTTTCAAACTTACTTCATTCATTTTCCCTTTTTTTCTGTAGGGCACTCATGCCCCTCTGAGCTTGGCAGACTCTGTATTGAAACAACTGCCTCCACTAGAGCAAATATGAAAGAAATTTAGTGTTTTAACCAGTTTAACCCACCCTTCTTCAGCTAATGAGCTTTGTGCTACACCTTCATTAAAGTAATTCGTAATGACTACCCTGTCATTAAAGTAAGTGCTCGTAAAAGAGCTAAAAGAAACATTACCTACGGATCCTTTCAGCTTCTTCCCTTGTGATTACAGCATCGGTCACACCTCTTCCACACTTCCTGGGAGTGCACCCTGGAACACAGAGCAAGAAAAACCCCCATGGAAATCACTTTAACCACTTGAAGGGTAGGTGTTCAGATGAGACTGCACAAAAGTGGACTGAAGCACACAGCTTGGATATATGTGGTAAGTCTCTTAAAATTTACTGCTAAGCAATCTTAACATTAACTTTTAACAGGGAAAACAGGTCAGCAGTGAGAGAGTTCTGGGTGAAGAATGTGTGAAAGGTCTTATGAAATTAGAAGTCTGGTCCACAATAGTCTTCAGGCAAGAAGTATTAGGATCAGTTCTGAGCCACCTTGGGATGCCACATTTGGCTCTTTTCTGGGGAAGATCCATATATAGATGTAAAGGCACAGAAAAGTTGGGATGAGTGTATTTTCTGGCACCTGCCAATACACTGCTGCTGAACTGAGTGTCCTGTTTGCTCATGACTACACAAAACTCCTGGAAAGACATCAAGCAATTCACCCGTGTAGGTCCAAAACATCAGTCTGCTCTGATCAAAAGCAGCTAACAACAATGGCCACAGGCTGAGAGAAGGAGAAATTTTGTAGGAATTTCCACTCCATCTTACCCTGGCTGGGTACAATCCATCTCAAAGCAGGACTACAGCAGGCAAAGATTTATGGGCTGCCATTCCCATAGCAGTCTTAGCGCTGGACATTTTCCTCCACTCTCCTCACAGGCTTCTCTGATTTCCACATCCACTGACCTCATCTCTGGAAAAGCACCTTCATGCTGTCTCCTGGGCAGTGACCATGGATGCTTTGTACACTGACACAATGTGTCAACACACACAAGAGACTACACAGGAGTTTCATCAGACACACTAGTAGCCACGGTAGTTTTAAGTAGTTAACCATGTCTCAAGGCAGCAGAAATGGCCAAGATCTGGCCACAGCACTCAGAATGCAGATGAGACTGTGGTCACAGAACACCCTACCTTCTGCAAACACAAGTGAGAAATCACACACTTTATTTTGTATGATGCTTACAGGCAGGCAGAGCTATGGAAATGAAATCACTGCTGTGACACTAACTACCAAATCACTTGAAGCAAACTAAAGGCTCAGTTGGCTCAGTTCAGTTGGAAGCAGAGACAGGTGCATAAATAAAAAACTCATCCTAGCTGTGGAAACTTTACAGCTGAGCATCAGCCACCAAGTGATGATAGGAATGTGCCTCCTTCTGACACAGAGCCAGCAGCTGTGGGTGTCAAGCCAGAGTAAAGCCAGAGAATGAAAAGCTATTGAGTGATAGAAACCTATTTCCAAGGCGACTAAAGCTCCAGAGCTGAATCCCGTTTGGCAGATGACTGTAATCTGCATTTCCTGCCTCCCTCTGCTGTCAGGAACACGCTGGAGCTCAGCTTTGCCGGGACACACCAGGCTCTGCAGCTCACCACCACCCTCGCGTGGGGAACAAGCCAAGCGCAGAGCTCCCTATCGCAGCACAGCCTCAATCAACCAAACAGCCACTGAGCTCCTCCTGAGAGCACGGGGCAGGGGAACACATGTCAAAACATCTGCTAAAACCCCAAATCAGACACCTGTGTTAAGCAAACATCTAATTCGGAAGCCAGAACACAAACACAAGGTGCCTCCCTTTGGCCCTCCTGAGTTGATGTCAGCATGTCAATCATCCTCACACAAAGCCAGGAGGTCACACCTCACCCTGCAGTCAGCACTTCCAGGATGAAAGAACAGATTTATTCTTCTTCCTGGGCTGAGGTATTCTTGAAGTTCCTGCCATCCTTACAATAGAAACAATAACTTATGCGGTGCCCAAGACCACAAGTCCACAGTTCAGAAAAGTCCTCTTGCAAACCAGGGAAGGGAAAAATGAGGTTTTGTTGGTTTGGGGGTTTCTTTTGATAAACAAAATCTTCAGGAGCAAAATCCAGAGAGTTTTAGTCTCAGTTCAATCATAACCAAACCTGTGTCAACACTGGCTTCAGGTTTATCTGGCCTTGCACTATGAATTGCAGCCAACAGCAGTTTCTTCTTATAGCAACTATGACAAGTTAACACAGAATGTGTTTGCATGTGCCCTGTCAAAAAAAAACCCACTGGGGAAGTTTTCTTGCTGGTAGCTTCCTGATAGCAAAGTTTTTTTGCCTCAATAACACTTGGGATGAATCCTCTAAGAAAGATGCTGCACTAGCAGCACTGAGATAAAACTACCTGACCCCAGATTACACATAAACTTTGGTTGTATGTTACAAGTCTTTGTGACCAACAGCCCCAGGACCAGGCACCTGAAAAGGACAGGGGAAATGACCTCCATGTCTTTGGGGCACCACATCCAGGCTGCAGTTTGTCAAACACTTTCCACCAGAAATGGTACTGAAAAAAAGTCAGAAATCATAGAATCACAGACTTCACGCTGGTGGCACAGATAACGTCCCAAACCAGTTGCATTCTATACCCTGTATGGCATTGACCAGCAACAAACTCACCCACAAGCCTATTACAGGAATCAAGGGAGGATGAAAAGGCACTAAAAACAGATTGAGCAAAAAGCTTATTTCCTAGAGCCCAAGCAAAGCAGTTTCAGAAGAGAATTATGTAGGAATGACAGAAAAATCTCTCAAAGCAACAACTGGGCTGGCGCAGAGGGCATGAACCTTTGGGGATTTAAGCAACACAGGAGTTCTGCAGCACAAGTTTGGTTTCCCAGACTGAGGTTTTACAAATTCAGACAAACTTCTGTTTCAGCCTGAAACTTTGGTTCCAGGCAGCCTGAGGCAGCGATGTCCCTCTGAGCACTGCCACCCCACCCTACCCAGCTGTGCAATTACCTTCGAATCTTTTGTGGCTGTCGTAGTCCTCGGAGCAGGGGATCTCGATGAACTTTCCCTGCAGGCTGTCTCCGCGGTGTGCCAGCACCTCTGTCACCCCT